TAAGATCTCTCTCAAAGCATACCGATTAATTTCGCGGTTTTTTTTTCATTCATTCATTAAAACCGCCTTTCCAATATAAGTGGTCTTAAATAAATTTTATGCTTATCACAGTAATATATAGCAATTCATTAATTTTATGTAAAACATGTAGCGTTTGTTCTTTATCGAAACCATGTAGCGGTTATTTGCTAAACATTAATAATAACGTATCAGCGTCGTCGTCCATACGTTAAGTATGCACGAACACGTATACTGATAGTAGAATTTTGTAACACTTCCATTTGATTATTAAATTGCAAAACGAATTTTATTGATTGATTTATGATTTGTTTCTTGTTATAACATTGTTATAAACATTGGTCAAAAATAGTTTCTGCTGTCGTTAAAGATGCTATGGCTCAAGCATCTGCTTGAAGGAATATAGTTAATTAATGAACTGGTTGTACTTTTAGTTTCAATCCGTTATCCTCATGTCTGGTGGTAGTGTTGTGAGCTTTTAATGAACTGGTTGTACTTTCAGTTTTAAATCATAATACTATCTTTATAAACTGGTGGTAGTACTGTGAGCTCGCACGGGTTGATGCCGCCACCTTGCATTTTCAATTTCAACCCTGAAGCCGCCGTAATGCGTTTCGGTTTGAAGTGGTTTTTTTTTCCTACCTAAGCTGATGGTCTTGAGAGACTATTTCAGCGTAACCTTAATAAGTAGGTGAGCTCACGGGACTCAAACCTGACGACGTTGCTAACACTAACCCTAGCATAAGCAGTGCTTCGCAGAATCTACAACCGGATAACTATTAAAGTGTGGGGCAGCCGTTGCGCTGTAAAACTGGGACAGAACTCGTATTTCAAGTCCGATGGAGGACATTTAATTTGTTGCTTTTTATGAACTCCGGTAAAGACTTTTAACACAAGGTAGGCCGAGATCTCGTCCGCTCATATAAGCTATTAAAAAAAAACTAGGAAATTGATTGCTAAAAATAGAGTCCCTTTACGTAGGAACTGGTTAGGAACGGTCTATAACCAGTCTTACTTAACATATCGTACTTAACATATTACGCAATGATGATTTAAATAAATTCAGTATTTATAACTGCCGGCCAGTACAGAAATTCATGGGTCACTCATAACGTGATTGTATACGCGGTGTCACTTGACGCTCTTATCGGCGCTGTGCTTAGTGATTTAGCGATAACCTGAACCGAGACAATTGTTGAGTTTTATGCGATATCGGTAGAACGAAAAAACGTTTTATTCTCGTTGTCAAATCAATATTTGTCAATAGGTGCGTACCGAAATTAGGGTCTCTGTGGGATTTGTACTCTGGCATAGTCACAATTATTGCAATATACAGGACGTCTTATCCGTTAAAGACTCGACAACTTCACACAATCCCTATGATTCTTATGTCTTGGGTACCCCGGGTGGATTAGAGAGCGCTGTCAATGACCATTGTCTTCGGACTTAGTTTTGTATACGCACACTAGTTACGATTCAGCTCCGGCTAAGTAAGCTTGATTATGCTCTTTTTCTATCAATTTTGATAATGTTAATGAAAGCTGGTAATGCTTGGGGAACAACAATGCCTCTGCCTCGTTTCCGACCCAGAAGACGGCGCAACGCAAAGACGTCCCCCCCCCCCCCCAAACATGTCTTATCGGATTCTCCTGATTTACTCTTGGTGGTTTTAGGCACCTTGAGCACCGGTCTATAAGAGTTTGGCGTATAATCTGTAGACAGAACCAACTTAATTTCTCATCGCGATCGCAGGGTCGCGATAGTAGATTCAGCGAAGCGCTGCACCCGCTATGGTTAGCGTTAGCAAGTTCTCCTAAGGTGAGCCCCGTGAACGTAGATGATACCCGTCCAAGAGTAGTTGGAATAGCCCCTTAGGCTACCAATGATTAGGTAGGGGAAAAAGCCTGTCTGTCTACTGCGTACTGCCCACCACATTACTCGTTGCAATAAAGACAGAAAGACACGTCTTAGTGGCGGTAATTTTAAGGCGTGTAACACATAACTATCACTTATTTTGGTATTTACTATCTTAAGATCTACATACAAAAAAGCGGACATCAAGATTGTTATTAATAACCATTAATTTCATATGTCGCGTTATATGTTAATGTCGTCCTTGATATTTGAGTAAATTATTGTGAGTAGTGGTCACGTGGCTATTCTCTGGCACTAGACCGGCCCAATAAAGTAACAATAATTTTATCTTGGCGCTTGATGGAGTTATAAAGTAGGTATAGAACAACAAAACTGCCACTTTCTGGCCAGCTCGATCTTGTGTTTATTCAACTGAATTATCAACGAAATTCTGTTCAAAATTCAAACAAAAATATTGATGAATCTGTTTACACTTGTTTATGATCATCATCATCATAAAATTCCTAATAAACAAAGCATTCATTTTGAGAGGCACGAAACAAAGTTATTTATTGCCACATTATTTTTAGTAACAACCCGTAAAGTCCGTTCATCTTCCGTTATAAACTATAGCCAAATTTGGAAATGACACTCTTTTGTTAAAATTATACTCTGGTCATATGACAAAAATCTTCCTTGAAGTGCCAACTTTTCCATACAACATTCGGAAACGGGATATTTCGGTCTACCCACGCTACTGTCTGAAGTTTGTCCATGATCATGGCGTTAGCAACAATTCAAAACATCAGAAACTCAAAATATGTTTAAAAAAAATCGTTGTAATGATAGATCCTTCGGAAATTAGTGCTTTACTGAAACTCGTGTCAGGTATACGGCCGTATACATACGGCTTTTATTGGAAGTTATAACAACTTTCATTAGTTGGGAATTCAACGGAAAAGTGTGATTAGATTAATATCGAACACTAGTGGTAGTATAGCTAATGAATTTAGATGGCCAAACACCAGTACCGCCACGTGTATTTCAATACTTAAAAAAATAATATTAAATTTTTCGATTATAAATCTGCCACCGAAACTAGCAACAGCGTTTACGATCCGCCTCACACGTGTGCGAGAAATGTACGGTTGACCAATGGCTTTGCAATGTCCAAGGACGTGTCGTGTGCGAATGTTTTGTTTTGGTATCGACGTGTCAGCTTCTGAAATCTGATGCCTAGCGTTTGGAATAAAAGTAAGTTGGAATTTTTAGTAAGATTGTCGCAAAAACAATAGGTTTCGCTGTGAGGGATTTTATTTGACAAATGCATTGGTGTTGTTCCTTTTAGAATTTGGATGTCGTGTCTTCACAATTGTTATCCGCTGGTAGATTCAGTGACGTACTACACTTTTCCGGGCAGATGTTAGCAGTTTCCCGTGAGCTCGCCTACAATTCGGTGAAGCTAGTATAAGCCATTATAAAAAAAAACTTTCAATGGGAAACTTTCATGTGTTTTTCGAGAACAGTTCATAAAAGTTTCGTTTTACCCGACTGTCACAGAGAATAATGAGGTGTGCTGGGATGTGTTAGCGCTCCGAACCAGTGCCGAAATTAGCTATGACTGGTTAGGGGCACCGGCCTCGGCTTTACCAATGAACCTGTTACGTTTGTACCTATTTCATTCTGACCGCGCGCATGCTAGAGAGAGCTAGGGTAATAATTGCGGGATGGGTGTAATATGCTCTACGCCAACCGTGTCCCGCCGTCTCAATGGCAGCGACAGGGCTCCGGCCCGAACCGGGGTCGCGCGCCGGCTGTAAGCGGCAGGAGTTTTGGTGAGGTTCAACTCCCTTATACCCCACCCGCCCGGTGATTTTCTCCTGTACAAAAAAAGGGTAATAATTGCACAAAGGACGGACGCTACACGGACTTTTTCTTTTTTCCTACTTAAAGCTATCTAAACCTGACGATGTTGCTAACACTAACCCTAGCAAGAGCAGAAGCAGAGCTTCGCAGAATCTACCATCGGATCGGAAACGCGACCCACTGAGAAGATCCGACGAGAAACTCAGTGGGCTGTGTCTATGGGTTAATTTACTCGTAGAGCCCTTCGCCGCAAGCGACGGTTTCGACGAGAATTATGACCGGTGCTTTTGCACCGTTAGTGGATCGTGAGGATCCAAAATGAAATCCGCTACATGGATGAGAGACACCTTGCTCCGAACCACTGGCGGGTGGCCCATACAGACGCTGGAGTTGAGCGTAAGCCCTTCTGACTCCTGTTCGACTCGAGAAGGGCTCTCTTTCGCTAAGTCGTTCCCTTCGTTAAATCTGGAATATCATGACTACTTCTGACCCAAAGCACTAAACTCATGTTATTTTGAGTACGTTCTTACTTAAAATTTCCATCTTACGACTCAAGGCGCACGCGCGTAGTGCTTACTTCATGTCAAGTTACTTTTACTTTTTGATTGTTAAAAGCTTAAACTCCGATGACGTCATATATGTTTTACTTATCTAAGTATTAAATTAATCGAAAATGTAAACGTTTATTTTTTCTTGACGGATTCAGCCGTTGCATGTTTGATAATGGCTCTGTTTGCGTAATACGTGCGCATATTATGACAATATTTGAACGAATATCGGTTTGTTTGCCCGAAAATTTCGTGAAACACTATATAGGTCTTAGTTGTTTGGTTGATTTACTCCACAAGTACGACATCAATGGAAACTTTTAGAGATTCAAATAAACTCACTTAGTTACGTCATCTCGGATCCTCCCGATCCACTAACGGTGCTTCTAGGTACCTCAACCACCGGTCATCGTTCTCGTCGAACCCGTCGCTTGCGACGAAGGGCTCGACGAGTAAATTCACCCTCAGACACAGCCCACTGAGTTTCTCGCCGGATCTTCTCAGTGAGTCGCGTTTCCGATCCGGTGGTAGATTCTGCGAAGCACGACTCTTGCTAGAGTTCGTGTTAGCAACGTTGTCAGGCTTGAGCCCCGTGAGCTCACCTACTAGTTAAGGTTACGCTGAAATAGCCTCTCAAGGCTCTCAGCTTAGGTAGGAAAAAAATTGACTCAAACAGCTCATTAGATAAATGTAAAGGTTTTTTTGTTGTTGCAGAAACATCAGTACTGTGCGCGGAGAGTAGTCGGTGTGTTGCCACAGGAGGAACGGCCGCCAGCCGTCGAGGGTGCATGACGCTTAACACAACCAGATATACCGTGCGAAGGTACAACACTCACTTTTTTCTTTCCTACCTATGCTGATAGCCTTGAGAGGCTATTTCAGCTTGGCCCTAACATGTAGGTGAGCTCACGGGGCTCAAACCGAGAGTGCTGCAAACACTGACCATAGCAAGGGCAGTGCTTCGCAGAATCTACCGCCGGGTCGGAAACGCGACCCACTGAGAAGATCCGGCGAGAAACTCAGTGGGCTAAACACTCACACTAAACGTAGCTTATCTCGTAACTTAACGAACTCTTAAATAATGTCGATTAAGGGTTGCGTGACGTAACCGGTCGCACGTTAATTTGTGTATGTGTGTGTGTTTTGTTACAGAACATCAAAATTTTGCAGTAACAGGCATCGGAAGTTACTGCCGCTCCGACAGACGTGACTGGCGACGGCCGCGGGACCCGGACCCGCACTGCACCGCACACGGACACTCCTGCTCGGTATGTTCGCGACGATCTTTGTCATCACCACCACCGCCACCACTACTACCACCACAATCACCACCACCACCACCACCATCATCACTACCACCACCACTACCACCTCCACTACCACTATCACAACCACCACTACCACTACTACAACCACCACCACCACCACTACCACTACATGCCTCGATTCATTCGCCAAATGCTACCATCAGAAGACGTAGGCGAGATTAAACCAATAGACCACAAACTCGCATGCAAAAAAATGCAATCTGCATTTTGGCATACTGTTACATTACAACCAACGTTAAGTGTAAAGAAAAAGTAAACTAGGTTTTAAGTTTTAAAAAATAATTATATAGTTTTTAGTTCTCGTAGATTGTACGTCGGTTGAATTTAAGACATGTAAAGACCGAGCGGCTGACATAATTCACTTATTTACCGATCAATAGGCACGTAAAGAAAATATTGAAAATGTTGTACATTTTCGTAAAACACTGACAAAATGAAGATCGGTGTAATCATGATGGCAAAAAAAGGCGGATTACCAAGTTAAAGAATCCTACGTTTTCGTGGAGCCCACGTACAATGTGTTAATATTACAAAACTGGTCAAAGAGTTATGCTCAATATTTATTAAAATCTAACATCTTCAAGATGGAAGACGGTCATTTCAATATTGTCAAAATGCTTTTAATGTGTTCATTGTTATTGGAGTTTGCGACTAAATCTTAGGAGCCGTACGGTTCAAAGCCCAATCTAACTAACCCCTAACCTTTTCTTTTCCAGAACCAGTGTAAATATCAAGTCAAAATAGTTAATTATCTATATAACGTGTAAATAGAGGAAGCAAACAAAACCCAACAACCCGTCCAAAATGGGTTCCTTAAACGTGAACCGTAACGTCTCCGATGCGTTCTACCGGTACAAGATGCCGCGGATATGCGCCAAGGTCGAAGGGAAGGGGAACGGCATCAAGACGGTCATCGTCAACATGCCTGAAGTCGCCAAGGCGCTGGGGAGACCAGCCACGTGTGAGTATACCACATACATTTTTAGAGTCCGCGCGGGTAGGTACCACCGCCCTGCCTATTTCTGCCGTGAAGCAGTAATGCATTTCGGTTTGAAGGGTGGGGCAGCCGCTGTAACTATACTTGAGACCTTAGAACTATATCTCAAGGTGGGTGGCGGCATTTACGTTGTAGATGTCTATGGGCTCCAGTAACCACTTAACATCAAGTGGGCTGTGAGCTCGTCCACACATCTAAGCAATAAAAAAAAAAAAATACATTTTTAGAGTCCGCACGGGTAGGTACCACCGCCCTGCCTATTTCTGCCGTGAAGCAGTAATGCGTTTCGGTTTGAAGGGTGGGGCAGCCGCTGTAACTATACTTGAGACCTTAGAGCTTATATCTCAAGGTGGGTGGCGGCATTTACGTTGTAGATGTCTATGGGCTCCAGTAACTGCTTAACACCAGGTGGGCTGTGAGCTCGTCCACCCATCTAAGCAATAAAAAAAACTTTTTATTGCCTAGATGGGTAAACGAGCTCACGGCTCACTTGGTATTAAGTGATTACCTTAGCCCATAGACATACACAACATAAATGCCGCCACCCACCTTGAGATATGAGTTCTAAGGTCTCAGTGTAGTTACAACGGCTGCCCCACCCTTCAAATCGAAATGCATTACTGCCTTACGGCAGAAATAGGCAGGGTGGTGGTACCTACCCCTGCAGACTCACAAATAGTCCTACCACCAGTAAAAAGTCTACGAAAGAAAAAGAAAGTTATAATTTTTATACAGCTTATATTAATTTGAGTTTTGAGAGATGTACTGACATTATGAGTTCTGGTTACATTAATAAATGAATATAATATTTTTTGCTAATATGTTTTGCTGTGTATGCAATTTTTTTTGTATCAGTTAAGTTTGTCTCCAAGTCTCAGATTATGGATCTTGATCCTTCTGAAATCATTTGGGATGCTTAAGAATTTTTGTGGCTTGCAGTTTTTATGCAAAAACATTTGTTAGCAAGATAAGTTCAATAAATTGCTCAAATACAAAAACACTTAAAATATAATAAATTATTACTAAAATAACTTTGTACATATTTTATATTGTTTGAAAGAATAAAAAAAGGTTATTTTGTAAATTTCCAGACCCAACAAAGTACTTTGGTTGTGAATTGGGTGCCCAGACTCAGTTTGACTTCAAGAATGAGCGTTTCATTGTCAACGGAAGCCATGACTCGTCTAAACTTCAAGATCTATTGGACGGGTGAGTTGCTACTGCAGAAGTTATAAACTTTTGTTAATTTACTTTATAGGCTTTATGTGAGCATTCTATGGTCCACCACTACTTGTCTTCACAATATTCTCTTTCAATTTTGATACGTTAACTTGTTCGGGTATGTACTGCTTTATACAATACAAAAGTTCAGGCATAAGATCTTGAATGAAAGAAAGTTTTAAGCAAGTTGTGGAGATTAATCACTTCAGCGTAACTCACAAGTTTGATCTAAGCCACGCGAAGTCTGTGTCTCTCCTCGACTTACGGTACACTTTTCGTTTGTTTCGATCTGTTGCTCGTGCCTATCTATCTATATATATAAAAAAGAATTGCTGTTCGTTAGTCTAGCTAAAACTCGAAAACGGACGGATTTGGCTAATTTTGGTCTTGAATTATTTGTGGAAGTCCAGAGAAAGTTTAAAAGGTAGATGAAAATACTCGGAATTAAATAAAAATAACAATTTTGTTTTCCCTTTGATGTGTCCCCCATAGGACGGATTCATTTTGTTTGTTTTAAGTTTATTTGATACAAAAATTTAGGTCTTTTATTTATCGATTGAGGCACTACAATGTCTGCCAGGTCAGCTAGTGTTTAATAATATTTTTGGACTTCCTACCGCTTTATCTGTGCTTTCTGTTCTCTATATTTTCTCCTTCTGCTAAATATACTGTATAAATAGAAAATAAACTGCCTATCCTATTACTGACTTATTGTGCCACCTGACACTGGTGACCCTACAATCAATGACCTCCAAGCAGTAGATTAATATTTGTGGTTTCTCTGTTTGTTTCTAGATTTATTCGTAAATTCGTGCTGTGCCCTGAGTGCGACAACCCCGAGACCGAGCTGATTGTATCCACGAAGCGGAACACCATCTCCCAAGGATGCAAGGCCTGCGGTTACCACGGACAGCTTGACTTCAATCACAAGTTGAATACTTTTATACTCAAGAACCCGCCTGCCAATGATCCGGCTGTGCAAGTAAAAATGAAACTATACTATTTTATTTATTTTCGCTTAACATTTGAAGATGTACAGAAATAATTCAAAGTGGCTATTTTTTGCTGTATAACAATAATTTAATGCTTTTTTTGTTTGATATTGAGATCCAATGCACTGTCTTTTCTCGCATTGTTAGTGTAGATTCAGAATTTGTATGTCGCAAATGAGTATAGATGTTATTGATGAAGTGTCTAACAGAAAACATACAATTAAATCACAAATTTTATAATTTTATACTATCTTATTTTAATTTTGATTTCCATTTTTGCTTTATAGTAGTATTAAGCTTAATAAAAAAAGGTTATTAAAAAAATGTTATTTATAGAATATTAACATTTTAAAATTACTTAAATTGATATAGTAAAGTTTTAAAAATTCATAGGGCTCTTCACTGACTGAGGGCAATCGTGGAAAACGCTCGAAGCGCTCTGGTCCTGGATCCAACAACACTGCGACCAACGGCAGCCACGAGGGACAAGAAACTGAAGCTAAAAATGTACGTACTTAGGTGCTTTCTAGCAAAGTTACTATTACATTTGCAAATAGGATTTATTGGGAGTGAGGCACCTGGAATACTCGACATTTATGAAATTCTATCTAATAAATATTCTACGTAAATGTAGTTAATTCATGTACCTAATCTGTGGATTATGTCTGCCAAAAGTATTTTGTGTCACTATCCAAAAAATGGCACGCTTCAGCATCATTTAATTTAAAATAGTATAAAACAAAGTCGCTTTCTCTGCCCCTATATCCCTATGTATGCTTAAATCTTTAAAACTTCGCAACGGATTTTGAGGCGGTTTTTTTTAATAGATAGAGTGATTGAAGAGGAAGGTTTATACGTATAATAACATCCCTTAAATAGTGGAGAAATCAATAATAAATTACAGTTTCCGAAGCGAAGCGAGGGCGGGTCGTTAGTTTAATTTAAAATAAAAATAAAATGTATTCACGTATTAAATAACGCTTTGTGTTCAGGAACCGGAAGCGGTGTCGAGTCCCACAGCTACCGCAGCTCCGAGCACTAAGAAGGAGAAGTCCAAGAAAACTGGCGATGATGGCGATGAGGACGACGACGGCTGGACCGTGGATGTCAGCGAGGAGGCTGTGCGGGCCAGGATGCAAGGTAAAACTTAATTGAATCACTGTTCCCAAAGTGGATCTTAGAGCTCCGGTAATCAATGTTTGAATAAAATAAATAATAGACTGAAATAACTAACTATATAATCTAATTGGCTTAAAACGAAGCTTAAACCCTGTGGTTTGCCACAATATTACGTTGTTATAACCCTTTGCACATAATTACTCCCTGAGATCAACAACAAACTTCTGAAAGTATGTATTACACCACCTAGTTCGTCAGTTCCGCTCTATGAGTATCAAGTACTTCAGAATTTGTTTTTTTACAGATCTAACTGAAGGAGCTAAGATCATAACATTGTCAGAAGACAGTGAGAAGAATGAGAAGCAGCGGATGGATCTGTTCTATGCATTTTTGAAGCAACGAGCAGCCAGCGGTCAGGTGCAGGGAACCAAGGCCATCTCTGAGATCCTGCACGAGGCCGAGAGGTACCGTTTATTGTAATATGTAATATAGTAGTCTGAATATTGACCTTTTTCTCTCGCCAATAGTGACGTGTTGATGAATATAATATTGTTACCTAGTCCAGGCAACCCCCGACCGAGAGCCAGCGCTAAAACTATAAAAACGATCCCTCGCTGCGCCTTGGCCTCTTTTTTGTGCGTGGCGTTCGTGTGTGCGGTTCTTGTTGAAACATGTTTGGGACTTGTGTAATTTTAACAGTTTTCGTTAATAGTAAATTGAAATCATTTTGTTAAAAGTTTTGTTAATTCAGTGAAATATAATTAGGCCAGTTCTATGTTATTTCTTTTTGTTAACTTCCTCACTTCTGGTCCATAATAATATATAGATGCTGATTATAAACCTAGTGAAGTACAAACGAGTTGTTTTTTATTTATTTATTGCATAGATGGGTGGACCAGCTCACAGCCCACCTGGTTTTAAGTGGTTACTGGAGCCCATAGATACCTACAACGTAAATGCGCCACCCACCTTGAGACATAAGTTCTACGGTCTCAGTATGGTTACAATAGCTGCCTCACCCTTCAAATCAAAACGCATTGCTTTACGGCAGAAAATAGGTAGGGTGATGGTATCAACCCGTGCGGATTCACAAGAGGTCCTACCACCGGTATAGACTGTATTTTTGATTACGTCCCGGACTTGTAAATTTGTAGTTATGAGAACATGTTGGATGCTGGTCGACAAGGCTAACAGTGCTTGTACGTTGTGCTTCAGATTGGAAGTGAAGTCGAAGGCGCCGCTGGTGCTGTTCGAGGTGCTGGTGAACGCGGCGTCGGTGGGCGGTGACGTGAAGAAGCACCGCGCCCTGCTGCTGCGCTTCACGCGCCAAGACCCGCGCGCGCAGCGAGCCGCCCTGCACGCCCTCACCGCGCTCGCGCACCACCACGCCGCGCTGCTGCCGCGCGTGCCCGCCGTGCTCAAGGTACGCACGACCATACGACCCGCCAGTCTCCCGTCGCTTGCGACGAAGGGCTCGACGAGTAAATTAACCCACAGACACAGCCCACTGAGTTTCTCGCCGGATCTTCTCAGTGGGTCGCATTTCCGATCCGGTGGTAAATTCTGCGAAGCACGGCTCTTGCTAGGGCCAGTATTAGCAACGTCGTCAAGTTTGAGCCCCGTGAGCTCATCTACTAGTTAAGGTTACGCTGAAATAGCCTCTCAAGGCTCTCAGCTAAGGTAGGAAAAAAAAACGCAAGTCTCCTTTGAAAAAGCACGTGGATACGTAATATCGCATACCGCTCACAAAACCATGAACGGAACTATTGCCACGACTAATTTTCATTTATGATTTATATCCACATCAATCAAACCATGAGAACGTGCGGCGCACCTCAAAGAATTATTTTACCTCAAATCGGTAGTCTGAAGCAAACGACCATAAATAAAAGAGTTTTGGATAGTATATTACAAATTTTCAATATAAATACTTGCAGCTTCTTTACGACGAAGACATCGTAGAAGAGAAGGCTATACTGGAGTGGGCTAGCAAACCATCGCGCAAATACGCATCCAAGGAAGTCGTAGCCGAAGTGAGGAAACGGGCCCAACCCTTCCTCGACTGGCTGCAGCAGGCCGAGGAGGACTCGAGTGACGACGACGACGAGGAGGAAGATATCGAGGTAACGATCTGTTGAGTCTGTGCTTATATATAGAGCGTGTGTGATATTATGTAGGATGATAATCAAATTATCACTACAGTTTGCAACCTGCTTATTGTACGACGATTCGACACAGACTGAACTAATAAACTAAGCCCGCTACATCATTCCGCCCTTAAAAATAAGACATAAAATGTAAATTTTGATTACGTCAGGGTCTACTATGCCCGTTACAAATCTATTATATCATTATAATAATATATAACAGCACTAAATGATTATAATAGAAAAATAAATTTATTATAAATGTAGCACTTTTTGAATGCCACAAACTTAAATACAATATGTCACAAGCTTAAACAAATACAATAATGTATCAGTGCCTTCGATCAATAATAGTACTAGATTAAGGATCAGGAACAAAAATAAGACGCTCCAGTGGCCACGTTTGCAGACACGAAAACATCTTCATTTCTTAGAAAAAAGTTTAATAATGTCAACGACTTCAGTTTATTATAAACCTTAATACTTAAACATAAAGTTTAATTACCATTGCAAAATATATGTATTTAGGTCCTTTCGTCAGAAAAAGAATATTATGGAATAAATTTAAAATGTCACTTGAACATAAAAAGTCATCAGTACAAAAATATTGATTCTAAAATGATACTTAAAGCCTAATTTATAAGGTTAAAAATATTTGTTTAAAATTTCATGCTTATTGTATTGTGGAACTAGATTTAGTTCTTGGTATTACATTTCAATGCTCAGAACACAGTAAGTATTGAAAGACATAGAGTTGCAGAATATACATATTTGTTTTAGGTTTGTTTTGTATGGTCGCAACTATTTTTGACCGATTCAAAAAAGTAGTAGATAATATTTTACATTGCCGCTATTACAACAAATAGGTGATAAAAAATAAAATTGAATAAAGTAAAAAAAATATGAAAGGAAACACGAAACATGTTTTCCACGTATTCTTTATACAGAAGTAATTAAAACAATAATGTAGGTTTAATTACCTTTAAACAGATTCAGTTTGTTATAAAGCTGTCTTTTAGAAGTCATTTTTATATGAGCGGTTTCTTTTTTACAAATATAATGTAATCTTATATCAATGAATTTTTCTATAATCAGTTTAATTTAGGCTTATTTTATGGCTGTGTTCGTTTCCCCCAGAAAACAAATCCTTTTCAGCATATACGCTTAAAATATTTACACATACATATAAAGTTTTTTTAATACTTTTTTGCATTGATTTGCCACCACCATTGAACAATTCTAGAATTTTTATAAGGGTTCTATATTTCTTCTCCTCTTTCTTTCGCGACAATATATATCCATTGTGCACAGCGACAAGGGGCTACTAGGAAATCTACAAACAAAAATAACATTATAAAATAACAAAACTACTCTATTCCCTGTCCAAGAATAGGTGATGTTTGTTACAATAGTTGGTGCCTTGTTGCAAACATTGGCCAAACAATTACAATATTCGTAAATTGTGTTTTATTTGCAATATAATTGTGTTTATTATTTTATGAAAAACACTTAATAATATAAATTTACCAAAAAAAGATATTCCTTCCAAAACCTTGGTGTTATGGTGGTTTTTTACTCAGTTTTTGAACGCGCATTGCAGCGTTTTGACGTCTTAGTGTTGGCTATGATTGGACCATACTAATTTGAAATAAGACCACAAATTTATTTGTGGTCTTATTTTTCGGGCCGTTTTTGAAGCGCTAATCGCGAATCTAGTAGTATTATTGATCGAAGATCAGTGCGCCAGTTTTTCTGTCACAAAGGAATCAAATATACTCTTAGCCGCTAGTAATTATTGGGACTTCAAATTCATGTCTTGTTAGGGGCTCTGTGACTGTCGTCTACCAATCTGTGGCTAAAAAAACAATAGGATGGGAGGACTTTGTAGACAGTCATGCCAATGATAATGTGGGTATGAACATGGGTAGCAGCACTTAGATGTGATGTTCCAAGATAAGATAATGGATTATCTTAAAAAAGTTCTGGTTATATTTTTTCCAATTACGTTCTTGTTGTTGTTGTTGCTGTAGTCCTAGGGTACTCCGCTGATGCATAAGGCCCTCTCAAGTTGACTCTACTTGACTCTATATTGTACTTGCTCCTTGACATCACTCCAAGTGATGCCGGCAGTCCTCATCTCGCTCTCAACTCGATAAATAATTTTGTTCAGATCGAGTACGACGACCGCGCCAAGGCGACCCCCATCAAGGCTGTGGCTACTGCGGCCAACAACAAACCGAAGCAGGAAGAAGACGATGACGATTTCGATATCGACGCCATTTAAACACACAGCTTTCTACACTCAATTTCTGTTAATCCTATTATATGTTTTTTTTTCAAAGTGAATCACACATGCACACGCAGCACAATCACACGCAGTGTGGCGAGCTTAACATTAACAAAAAGTTTTGGAACTCAAAAGCAGATGTGTTTACATTGCGCGGCGTTCTCTGGGCTCGGTGTAATTGTGTGTGCGAAACTGTATTGTGTTTCCCAAATTATTAATATTGAAGTAAAATTATTGTCTTTGGTCTGGCTCTCGGCATTACAGCAATATATTAGGGTGTCCTTAAATCATATTGCTTAACTGAACTTCCTATAAAATTCCCCAACCACCAATTAGTATATATACATAGTATAAGAACCATAAATATTCAACTTTATAATTATGAAAAAAAAAAAAACAATTGAATATAGTGATAGTCATAAAATATTCCTGCTTAAGGCATTTTGAACGTAGATAAAACTTATTTGTTACTTATAGGCTGTAAAGAAACGCTATGGACTATCTCATTTTTTTTTAAATCAATTTTTGTTTCTTTAAATTATTATTTTTCTATTTCATATCTATGTATTTTACTTAGCAAAGAGTAACACCGGGGCTTAGGATTTCATGTTTAATCAAAGTTGATTAACTGTGAGGAATGGAAACGATGGCAATATGTGCGTTTTTGTATTTATTGATTAAATAAAATACACCGCTGGTTTTTAACTATTAAACAATACCTTATGTACATAAAGTATGTAAAGATAGATACAATATTCGTAAAAACGTAATATTTATTGGCTGTATTTACAATGAATACCGAAGAATGAATTCAGTGTCACTTTATTAATAATTAATTCACCCGAAAAACTTGTATCCACAGTTTTATGCAAATTTCTAATAACAATGATACTACTTTTTGCTTGGACACAGTTTAATAATTGTTTTTTATTTAATAATTAGCGGTGTATGAGTATTATAATATAATTTTCTAGTTATTAAATGAACGGTGTTGTTGAGTGTTGAATAGATGTTTTGTAACGATGAGAAAGCTTAGAATGTAAACAAATGTTCCGTGTCACAATGTATAGGGACATTCGACGCTCAACATGAATGGGGTCGTGTTCTTTAGAATAACATGAAGAAGTTGCCAGTAATGCGTAACGATGCATACATTTTGGTAGCATTTTGAGTTGTTGGCAACACGGCCGCCATTGATTTTTATATATTCTGTATTTATGTAGCTCAGTGGGATTCCGGTTCTCGCGTTTCTGTTAAAAATGTCTCTTAGGCGATCGTATCAATATTTATATTATTATGAAATTGCCACAAGACAATTTTATTGTATTTGTTTTTCATTAAAAATACATTTTTTGGATTCTGATTGCTTGTTTTATTGCCGTTTTATTGTTTTGAAAAACGTAAGGTTAATTTATTGAGCGGTAATTTTGTAGTTTTTTTTCATTGTTCCGATGGCTGGGCGAGTTCACTGCTCTTCTGGTGTTAAGTGGTCACCGAAGCCCATAGACATGTACAACGTAAATGCCACCGCTCACCTTGAGATATAAGTTCTAAGGTATCAGTATAGTTACATCGGATGCCCCACCCTTCAGACCGGAACGCATTACTGCTACCTACCCGTGCAGACCTACAACACTCCCTACTTTTTAACTTTTAAGTCCGGTTGACTATGATCTTTTACACAATGCAATTTACATTTATTGTGTGAAGTGAAATAAAATTAATTTTTTTCATTCGGATGGATTTATTTGTATTTTTCAAAATTTGTAGGAGTTATGTATCTATGAAATAAACATCCACCATATTACATATACAGTATTTCATAACCATAAAAATTAAATTGTCACACAGTTTAATCATACAAAATTTCAGTCTTATAAATATAGAAATCTTAATAAATAAAAGCGAAAAAAATGAATATGCACCAAGTGTTAATAACTAAGGGCCGAGTCACACCGGAATGGCAGCGGCCGGCAGCGTCGCGGCGAGCACTTTCAGTGTGAAATAATTTTAAGCTTTATCTATATACTTAAAGGACCAGTATCGCTTGAAAAGCTAGAAAAGGTCTCACACTGCCGCCACCTGCCCGCGGTGAAGCGAGCAGCCGCGCGCCACGTGCGTCTTGTCGGTGGTCCTGCCCGCGGCTGCCAGCGGCGACACGAGGCCGCTCGTGGCACCGCGTTATATATAATAACCAATTCCATCATGTTCACTCTAAACACACGTTTTTTTTAATTGTGTATATAAGCTGTGAGCTCGTCCACCCCACCCTTCAAACCGAAACGCATTACTGCTTCACGGCAGAAATAGGCAGGGCGGTGGTACTTACACAAATTATAATTTTGCGGGATTCATTTTTATTACACGATCATTGCCGAATGAAGAAACTAGTCCAAAGGAGACTAGGCGCGTGCAGTCTGGAGGCCGCGCGAGGCTGCCAGCGGCGACGCCGGGGGCCGCTGCCGGACGCTGCCGGCCGCTGCCATTCCGGTGTGACTCGGCCCTTACTGTACTACATATATGTATTAAGTATTTACATACATTTATCGTAGCAGACATTCAGTCAAATTTCAGAGAAAACGTTTTGTTCATGTACGCTTAAAATTAATGAGCAGAGAATTAAATTTAAGTTAAGATAATTTTAAATTCCTAGAGGCCTTTATTAGGCACAGTCACTATAGCATTTTATAATAGCTAATTTTAATATTAGTAGGTTTTTATTGAAAATAAAGCTTTTTTTATTGCAATTTTACCGCAATTACTCTGGAAAGTACTTAAAAAATCTTTGGACGTTTTATTATATTATTTAAAACATTTCTATGGCCCTGAATAAGATATTTTTTTAGAAATATTGCGATATTTATAGAAAAAAAAAATCTTTCGACACTTCTCGGCTAGGTGCTATTGTAGACTTGGTTTAATAAAATCGTTCCTGAAAACGATTAGTTGATGATGATGATTGATTTCCCTAAATACTAAACTTTACTACGAGTAATGTAAATTAATGAATTATAAGGGGTCAACGACCCGATCTCCCGCGACCGCAGCAGCTGCATTCGGTTTGGATTACGGGTTCACGAAATGAATTGTATTTTAATTTTTAACTTACTAAAACTATTTTTTTAAATTATTTAACCTAGCAAACGAATGTTACATTTCAATTTCCATTTTTTTTACCTTCTGGTGTTATGTTAGGTTTCCTCCCGATATACCGTTAGAACAATACTTAAAATATACAGAGATATAAAATATTACATGACCATTACTACAAACCTGCTAGTAAGTAATATGAATTATACAAGCTGATTTTAATATTTATTCCGTTAGAATCATTGTTAAAAAGGAAACAATAATATAGGTATATATATTTTTTTGATAAATACATCGGGCACTGCTCAACCACAAACCTTATCTAAGAGTATATTTCTAACTATACATATGTATTTATAATAAGCACTCTTACAAATAGCACCCAACAATAAATCTTAAAGGATTGGCTTTCATCTTGAATAAATAGTAGAAATAAAGAAATAATTACATACTTATGTTTTATCATTAAATAAGCAAGGCGTATTTAAGAGATTCATAATCAGGAATTTACAGGGGGCAAAACACTTAGACAAATTACTTATAAGTTCTAGACAAAATTAGTTTTAAACTTAAACGACATAATATATTTCCTGTAGTAATCCTTATCTTTACAATTCAATTCACTGAATTTGAATTAAGTGTAGTTTAGTAAATTCTACCCATTCGAAGCCATTAAATACACGAGTAATTCGATGTACAAACAAGGGCGGATCCAGCTTTGACGCCAGGAGGGGGTCACATAGTCGTGGGCAAGTTAAGAACTTATAATTTAATTTTGATAACAATAGATAATAAATAAATCATGATGTTCTTCAATTAGTCCAAGTTAGTTCAAGTCCTGGAACTAGCTCAGGGGGGGTCATGACCCCCATGAACTCCCCCCTGGATCCGCCGTTGTGTACAAAGTCATTAAAGGCTTAGTTTCAGAATCTAGTTTGGCGCCAATACGGCTTAGCAATGGCACCAAACATGTTTCTTTAGTAATTCTTTGATCTTTACTCAGAGTTTTTGTAAGAGCACCTTTTTGACTAGAGTCCGAATTAGGTTTCTTGCTGCTAAGCATTTGGTGCTAATTGTTGCGGCGTCACCGGAGATCCTGTTGACGTCACAGAGCTCGAAACACTGAACGAAGCGATGAAAACGTTCACGAACGTGATGAGGAAGATGCCGAGCACTGTCATATTATTTATTTTATCGGCTTTGCAAATCTCTTTCTTGTCGTTAACGTCATAACGACTATTGAGGATTAAACCAACTCCAACTGCGATCTGAAATGTCAAAGACATGCCTAGAGTATGTTAGGTTAGCTGATATAGATTTTTATTTATTGCTTAGATGGGTGGCCGAGCGCACAGCCCACCTGGTGCTAAGTGGTTACTGGAGCCCATAGACATCTACAATGTAAATACGCCACCCATCTTGACATATAAGTTCTAAGGTCTCAGTATAGTTACAACGGCTACTTCACTCTTCAAACCGAAACGCATTACTGCTTCATGGCAGAAAAAATAGGCGGGGTGGTGGTACCTACCCGTGCGGACTCACAAGAGGTCCTACCACCAGTAATTACGCAAATTATAAATTTGCGGGTTTGATTTTTATCACACGATGTTATTCCTTCACCGTGGAAGTCAATCTTGAACATTTGTTAAGTACGTTTTTCATCAGAAAAATTGGTACCCGCCTGCGGGATTCGAACACCGGTGCATCGCTACATACGAATGCACCGGACGTATTATCCTTTAGGCCACAACGACTTCTTTAGGTTTAAGTTTAGGTTTGACTCCGTTTGACAAATATTTACATAACCTATAATGGACGATGTCTATGGTGATTTGATGAAAACACGGCCCATCTGATGTTAAAAGGTTACCCAACTTCATAGATATCGATCGATTTAGGTACCCAAATTTCACGATGAAAATTTGTTTTAACGCATTGGCGTTAGTGGCATGGGAACAAGATGAAGAGTATTATTACCTGTAAAATGATGCTTAGTCCAATAAAGGCAAGACTTGGGTAGTAATACGGGTGAGACGTTTGAGATTCGAGTACGTAACGCAGCTGGTTTGCGTTAGCGGACAGCAGCGCGAGGTCCATCATACCCTGCGCCAGATTCTTCTTCTGTTGATACGTGTTCACGTCGGGAGTGACCTGGAAAAAAAGCAGTTTAGTTGATTTCATATCAACATCATTCGATAGAAAAAAATCGATGTTAGTTCCGTTCAAAATTGTAACAAAAAGAGCGTTTTTTTTTCTTTTTTTATTCGATATTTTTACTCACTGAAGGAATCGGAGAGCCGGGTCTGTCGTCGACTCCGAACCTAGGGCTCAGTCCATTGACACCATCTACGAATAAAAAACCAGTAATTATTGATTTTAGTGATTACTTTTAGGTTAAGTACCGAAGCAAAAACGGTACCTGACATTTACTATAAAAATAAATTTAATTTGCAAAATTCCAAGTATCTTTTAGGATTTCAATATTTTATAAGTACTTTAAACTCAAAAGCGATATTTTTATAAATTAAGTATATTTTTCTATGCGACGTTTACCCATGAACAATAAGAATGAATACTGATAATGGATGGAGAATATTTTTATCAACATTTACATGCGTTTTTAAATATAGCATTAGAAACGTTTCTCTTTGATCCTGTTTCATTCGCCATGATGGATTAGCTATGGTTTCGCGGATTGCGCGTCAAAATAAAAAACTTCATAACCAATCAGTGCAAAGTGAATAGAGTTAGGTGGTTAAATAATGTGTGCCACATGCAGTGAACCAGTCACCATAAGGATAATCCGGCTGGTCCCCTTCCGACAGCCATGGCCATTTACCGTCCGAGAGCCCGTCCTCTACCGTGGCCTCTGCGTCGTCATCGGGGTTGTGGGTTTCATCTGTTCCTGAAAGAAAAATACCACTAATAGTAGTCTTTTATTGACATCACTTGACAAGTAATACATGAAGCGTTCTTTTGACCATTATTCGTTACCTTAGCTTACATTTATATATATATAAATATTTGTTACCTAATTGATTCAGGGTAGAAACGCGACAGTTATTTATGGAACGAACTGATAGAACAATTGAAATAAAAAAGAGGTTATATTGTGTGATAGTAAAAACGTCATCTTCATAGCTGTAGATGGGAAGACATGCTCACAACAACAACAGAATGTCGCCCACCTTGAAATATGAGGTCAAAGCCTTCGTATTATTATACAAAGGCTGTGGGCCAGGTGGGCTGTGAGCTCGTCCACATATTTTTTTTATACATTTTTTTTTATTGCTTAGATGGGTGGACGAACTCACAGCCCACCTGGTGTTAAGTGGTTACTGGAGCCCATAGACATTTACAATGTAAATGCGCCACCCACCTTGAGATATAAGTTCTAAGGTTTCAAGTATAGTTACAACGGCTGTCCCACCCTTCAAACCGAAACGCATTACTGATTCACGGGAGAAATAGGCAGGGTGGTAGTACCTAACCGCGCGGACTCACAAGAAGTCCTACCACCAGTAATTACGCAAACTAAAATTTGCGGGTTTGATTTTAATTAGGTACACGATGTTATTCCTTCACCATGGAAATCAATCGTGAACATTTGTTGAGTACGTATTTCATTAGAAAAATTGATACCCGCCTGGGATTCGAACACCGGTGCATCGCTCAACACGAATGCATCGGACATGTCTTATCCTTTAGGCCACGACGACATTTAGAGCAATAAAAAAAATCTAAATCCATCTAAGCAATAAATAAATAAAACTACAGTGCAAAGTGGAATTTTTCTATAAAACTACTTCGTCATTTCGGCAACCATATAGGTACCCACGCATAATTCAATACAACATTTATGTACACTGTACTCCGGGCAGTCACTGTCAACGTACAAGGTCAATGCCTGTCTCGAAATAAGATTTGCGCAAGATATGTTAATTAAGCAGGAGCGTATTGATATACATATTTTGAAAACGTGATTTAGTTCACACAATTATTGTGTAGCGTGTATTTGAGAGCTCATCGCAGAGAAATAATTTCTTTGGGATAGTTTTTAATTTAACGAATGAGTGAATAGTCAATTTCATTAGCCATTTAGGGTTTCCAGACGTCCCGTATTTTAGGCTTAGTTTAAAATGTCCCGGCGGGATTGACTCTGTCTCGTATTCGAACCGTACGATTATAATTTATAAATATGTTAAAATCGATAAAAATATGTTAAAACTGACATGCTCCACGGAGAAATATAAAAAAAATAAAGAATGTCACTATATAATATGGTTTTTTATTTGTCCCGAGAAAAAAATTAAATTCCCGTAGGTATTTTTTGCTCATTTAAGCATTTGCCCCTTAAAGGCTGAAAAAAATCTGGCAACCTTAATTAGCATATACATACATACATACAATGATACAATAAGTTGTTTAATAGCCTATTATTATAGTGTTATGAGAAACTAAAAAGCCCAACAATTTTATCCCCGAAACTTTTGCGCTGTCACCCGATTATGACTTTCTAAACCTCAAAATTTCACAGTCAATAAAAACGTGAGAAAAATTCATAATAGAGATAGATTCTAGACAATAACAATATTTAATATTTTCTTCTATTTTGCGAGTTGTAAATGTAATTAAAACCACTTTTGCGGCTTGATCTCGCATTTGTTATTTTCATTTAGATTATTTCGAATGATTTTATTATTTGAATATTGTAAATATATACCGTCAAAATTTCTATAAAAAAATATATATTTCCACACAGTGAACTACCAGTAGCTTTCTGTGTGAAGTTCAAACAAGTCCCATAGACACAACCTACTGAATTTCCCCCCGGATCTTCTCAGTAGGTCGCGATTCTGATCCGGTGGTAGATTTTTCGAAGCATTACCCTGGCTAGGGGCTAGTGTTAGCAAATTCTCTCAGGTTGAACCCGTGAGCTCACTGTCCGAGTTGAGTTCGTGCGTAACTGGATTAGTCCCTTAGTTAGCGATTAAGAATTGATTCCCCGTGGCACAGACAAAAATCATTCATCAGTTTACGTTCCTTCGTAACGTCGTTTTTATATCCAATGTTAAGCTTTCGTGTGGCGCTAACAATAACAAAATAACTAATACTTATAGAGAATTTCCCAGCTACAACAATAGGACCGACACCAAGACGCTACACGCGACATTGGTGACTAAAATCAAGAAATACCACTTCATAACAATCTTTCCTTTCCACTTATACTCATTTGAAAACATGCCTTCCTTAACTTAATATTCACGAACATTATTTACGTAAGAGCACCACTTAAATATTATAAATTAACATTAATTAGCCTCAATAACCCTCAACCTCAACCTAAATAACAAAACAGAGATAACCTTTTTTCGGTCGACCAGATACGACCACAAAGCAATTCTGAGGTTACGCCGATAAACAAACGGTACGTACTCCTGATAATGATACATTCAATTGTTCTTTGGCCCTTTGTTTTCAATAAAAGTTTTAATTAAAAACAGTTATTTATGAGGCATTAAGTTTTTTTTAGATGAGCCCGTACTCACCCGCCTTTCCTATTGAAACTGGAAAGGCTTCCGGTCCACCAGTAACCCTTTCTTCACAAAAACAGTTTTTTTGCTAAAGTGATACATTCACTAACGTGGAACCCTTTGTCCTATTGAAAGTATTCAGATCTCACCCAGAACTCAGAAGAGTAGTGTGTGTTAGTGTAGATTATATACATATATACTTACTCAGTACATAACTTAGTGTTTAGGTAAATAATATTAGCCCGGTGTGGTAAATAATAAATAAATAAATAACTGGCAACAAATCACGCACGGTAATCCAGTCCCAATTTAGGATTTCCTTTATTACCATAGACTGAGAAACATTTATGTTTTATATAAGTTTAAATATGTGCATATATACGATAGATAATAAACACCCAGACAAAGAGCAAACAAACATGTTCATCATGCAATCTTTGCCTACTACTGCATCACTGTTATAATACCATCCTGCGTACCTATTATTTTCTGACGCGAAGACTTGCATGGTTGGACAGCGGCTTAGAATACATGTCATTATGAAATACACCTCATGCGTCAAGAGTGCTTAGTGCGAGTTTCTTAACGTTCTCGATAGCGTAAAAGTTAACCCAATTTTGTATGCAGTTGGAACAGCGCCCCTAGCGGCAAACGTACGCAAACGATCCCATTCCATACAAAAATGAGCTAACTTTTACGCTATCGAGAACGTTAAAAAACTCGCACTAAGCACAAAGATGGATATTGACGTTACGATGTCTTGAGCTCTGGTAGTCAGGTACAGAAAAGCGGTCCGAGATATCATGCACCTTTCTATGGAATAAAATAAAAAGCCTTAGTCTAACTACCTTCGCCCGGAGCTGTGGGTTTGGGGTCAGTTGGTTCGAGGAGTCCGTCGTCGATGCCCTGGTATGGAGTTGCATCTGATGGCTTCTCCGCATCGTCGCCTAAGTCATCAATCTCTGGTCCTGGACGAGGAATTGGGTAAATTAGCGCGATGATATATACTTTTTATATATATTATATTTTTATTGCATAGATTGTTGGACGAGCTTACAGCCCATCTGGTGTTAAGTGGTTACAGGAGCCCACAGATATCTATAACGTAAATGCCACCAGCAACCTTGAGATATGAGTTTTAAGGTCTCCGTTTTTACAGTACAACGGCTGCCCTTCAAACCGAAACGCATTAACTGCTTTACGGCAGAAATAGGTGAGACGGTGGTTCCTACCCTTGCGAACTCGCAACAGGTCTTACCACCAGTGATTACGCAAATTATAATTTTGCAGGTTTTGATTTTTATTACACAATGTTATTCCTTCATCGTGGAAGTCAATCGTGAACGTTTGTTAAGTACGTTTTCATTAGAAACAATTGGTACCCGCCTGCGGGATTCGAACACCGTTGCATCGCTACATACGAATGCACCGGATGTCTTATCCTTTAGGCCATGACGACTATATTAACTTTTACATTACAGTTTTTTTTTATTACCCGAGCAGGCAGACAGCATACTGCCCATCTTATGGTAAGTAGTTACCTTCGCTCTGGATGTCAGCAATGCCAGGGGCAGAGCCAAGCCGCTGCCTACCGCTTAATACTCTCCACAAGCCTCGTTTGAAGCAGGACATATCATGGCGTTCGGGAAACACCGTGGAGCGGAGCTCATTCCAAAGCCGGTACGTGGCAAAAATGATCTCTGAAAACGCACTGTGGATGAACACAGTGGCTCCAGGTAGTACGGATGAACTCTACTCCGGTGGCGGGCGGTGCGATGGTAAAAACGAGATGATAGTGTCATCTCAAATAATTCCTCAGAGCATTGTGGGTAGAATGTAAAAATGAGTAATTACCGGTTAAGGGTGGTTTCTGCCGTTCTTTGTTCGGCTCCAGGAGTGGCTGACTCGGTTGTTCGGGGTCATTAGTTGCTTTGCTGATTGGCTGCAATGTAAACAAATCCCTTTATTATTGGAACGAAGTTCCTTATGGGACGATGCGGAGGGGTACTCTAACCGGGAAAAACGTCCGTAACGTAAGATTTTTATTAGTAATGCACACAGTGTACGACTTAACTTTGTAATAACGTACAAAAAATAACATATTTTATTATCATTCATTGACCACGACCTCAGAGCGTTCGTTTGCGCAATACACTAACTCTTATGCAAACAACCGTGAATGAAGTGTACCACAATAAGTTCGCACGTTACCGAATGACCGTGGATTGTTGCGAAATCTCCCGTTTTATTTTCTTTATACCTCGAATAGAACTTTAAATTGATATTTTTATAATAAGGAAGTTCGTTCCTATCCGGTGTCCCACGACACCACACATCTTTTTTTTTTTGATTGGACGTAATGGCTGGAGACCCAGAAACCGCTCCAGTTTCACCAGGACGTGTGGACAAACTCAAAGTCACGAGCCTCAGAAATAATGGAACGTCAATCGTTAGGAGGAGAGGTCAACAGGTCAACAGGTGAATTGGAGGATTAGCGATTTTCACCTTAAACATCTACTCAGTAAAAGTCTAATGAAGAAAAGCCTTCCAGTTAAATAAGTAGTTAGTGCAATGACTAAGAGTGGCTGGATGACCGCTGCCATGACTAGTTTACCGGGAAGGACTGTCTGTCTGGTTTTCCCCGTTCTTATGAATGAAATTTGAATTTAAACTAAAGCGCAACTCAATGTGTATCAAGCAAGTTTGCTTAGATAGACATTTGTCTCGAAGATCAATAAATTGGTTAAATTGAACAAAATTGATTTTGTGTACTTTTCGGGCGCCCGATTTGGTCATTTTTAACACGCTTTCATTAGTTTGATATGTATTTATACAACGGAATCTTTGAACATGATTTTTATCGCCTTCAAGGCATCGGATTGCTTTCTTACTTAGCACAGCTATCAAGGAACAATAGTAATCTTCTATCTATATATAAAAAGGAATTGCTGTTCGTTAGTCTCGCTAAAACTCGAGAACGGCTGGACCGGTTTGGCTAATTTTGGTCTTGAATTATTTGTGGAAGTCCATAGAAGGTTTAAAATGTAGATAAATATGAAAATGCTCGGTATTAAATAAAAATAACAATTTTGTTTTCCCTTTGATGTGTCCCCCGTCGGACGGATTCCTTTTTTAGTTTATTTTGTACAATAGTTTAGGTCTTTTATTTATCGATTAAGGCACTACGAAGTCTGCTGGGTCAGCTAGTAATTTAATAAAATTGTGGGATTATCCTGATCATGATATATCTTGAAAATTAACGCTGAAAACACGTTAGTGCCTTGTACGCGCCTACTGCTTTCCTTGGATATAATAGCAGATTATATTTTTACTATGAAATTATCATCATCACAGACTAAAAAAACCAAAAATAAATATTAGTTTAAATTTTTGTCGCCGAAATTAAGAAAACCATAATATTATGTTATAAATAAAATATGCAAGAATACAGATTATTTTAAAAATAGAGGTTCGAATCTTAGGTTCGACTTGTTTTGAATTACATATTCAAAAACATGTGGGTTGTTTGTTGTGTGGTGGCTCGGCGGCTTTTTGCGATTCTTTTCTTAATATGTACTGTAGATTGGTAGATGAGCTCGCGACCCACCTGGTAAAGGGTAGAGTGATAGACTCACCAAATTAGTGCCGCCACCCTTCTCGAGACGTATATAGACGAGATATATATAGTCGAAGCTTAATTTGCATGACCATTGTCTCACTCACCAAACTGGAAACTATTGATGCTTAGCGGTAGAAATTGACTGGATGTTCGTTAAGTTGCTGGAGTTTGGCGATTGCGGCATATTAATGAAATAATACGCAAATACAATTACCGAACGCTGCGATATAATCGATTCACTCTGATCGCTTCGATATAATCGATAGTGACTTAAAGGTTCACAGTTATCGTATTGCGACTATATCAAAGTTAGACAAATCTTAAGGAAAATCCTAAGGAAATATGTACCTAGTCAATTCATGTTCATGAACGTCTTCTACGGTGAACAAAAAGTACGTATGAAAAAAATGAAGTCCGCGAATTTTATAAAAGTTTTACTGCGTATTTAGTACAGATATGACGATGACAGAGATGAAATATACTGAGACCTTAGAACTCATATCTCAAGGCGGGTGGCGGCATTTACGTTGTAGATGTCAAAGGGCTCCAGTAACCGGTGAAGTCGTCGTGCAAACAATGAACTGAACTATTACCACGACTAATATTTATTTATGCCTTTATTTATGATCTCGACATCAATCAAACTATGAGAACTATAAAGAACTTTTAAAGTTGTCGTGGTGGCCTAAAGGATAAGACGTCCGGTGCATTCGTATATAGCGATGCAACGGTGTTCGAATCCCGCAGGCGGGTACCAATTTTTCTAATGAAATACGTACTTAACAAATGTTCACGATTGACTTCCACGGTGAAGGAATAACATCGTGTAATACAAATCAAACCCGCAAAATTATAATTTGCGTAATTACTGGTGGTAGGACCTCTTGTGAGTCCGCACGGGTAGGTACCACCACCCCGCCTATTTCCGCCGTGAAACAGTAATGCGTTTCGGTTCGAAGGGTGGGGTAGCCGTCGTAACTATACTGAGACCTTAGAACTTATATCTCGAGGTGTGTGGCGCATTTACGTTATACATATTTGTCTATGGGTTCCAGTAACCACTTAATACCAGGTGGGCTGTGAGCTCGTCCACACATCTATGCATCTAGCATACAATAGAATAGCTTAATTCTGCCGTGACATTATGCCATACAACCAGATCTAAATCTTAGAAGCATTTAATTGTGATGTCTATGGACTGTTGTAGTCAATCGACACCAAGAAGGCTGTGGAGCTCATTGAACCATATTTGTAATTGAAAATGTAATAAGTTCTTAAGTCAACTCTTGAGTCAAATAATTAATTACCAGATCTTTTTTTGTTATAACAAACCTAAAATGTCATCGCCAAAATACCCACAGCAGAGTGCACTTGAATTCGCCATTCCGATAGAGGCACCCGTCACGTGCGGACGTGCTCATCGTCCACTCGATCGCCCGGTCTTTGTTCGCCCGGCTTTTGTTAGCCCGGCCATTGTTCGCGCGGCCTGTGTTCGTGATACATCTGCCGACCAAGTGTGTTTCCTGGAAGCTTTTATTTTTTTTGTTTTAGTTATTGTTGTGTTCGTGGAACATTTGCCGACAAAGTGTTTTCCTGCAAGTATTTATTTGTTTTGTTTCTTTTTGTAATTTTTGTTTTGTTGTGCTTTTTCTTTGTCCTGTAGTAATCGCGCCGCATTGCCACCTGTATTCAATAGAACCGCTCAGGTCAGAGAAGTTGGGGCCTCGCCGCAAGGCGAGTGTTTTCAAGACCCGGGGCCGTCCCACCTGGGTACTCAGCGATCATGGACGCTGTATTCGCGGAATTCCTCCGACTTCGCCACCCACAGCTCGCCTCAGAGTTTCTGGCCTTCAAGGCCAATCACACTGCGAGCCCTCTCGAGGACTCCGCCGCGCTCGCTGCTCCTGCGTCGCCTGTACCTGCGTGCAGAGCTTCTGCATTGAGCACCGCAGCCTCTGTCGTNGGTCGCGATTCCGATCCGGTAGTAGATTCATTCGCGAAACAATTGCTCTTGAGTTGTTAGGTCTCCTTCGGAGGCGCTCGGGCAGTTGTTAGCAAATCCCACCCCTCTTGGCTGAGCCTTTGCTCGCCCACCTGTCCTGGTGAAACTGGAAAGGCCTTCGGGCCACCAGTAAACTTTCAATCATAAAAAAAAAAAAAAAAAAACTTGAATTCGCAAAACGTTATTAAAAATTTAAATGACATTGAACGTAATTTTAAATTTTTAATATGATTCTGCTAATCCATTTCATGTTGAATCATCCAAGCTTACATGGCTCACAAAAATGTGAAGGGAACATTTACGTTTGGAATATCCAGATGTCTACGAAATTATCGTTTTTTTTTATTATTTGATGCCAGTGTGTCAACTTTGAAAACTTTTTGCGTAATCATGAAAAATCTGACATACTATCATAATGGTGTGCTGGGTAATTCGAGTAAGTTGAAATTTATTTCTTACGTGCTTTAGAGGCGTAATTTTTCTTGTGCTAAAAACAATTGAATTGACATAATTGATGCATCATCTGCATCCTATAGTTATCAACTGCTGAAGATAAGACTCTCCAAAATTACATCACTGTGACTGATGATCTTCAGCTCGTCCATATCTTGCAGTATACCGTTCGTTTCCCGTCGCAAATCATCAAGCCACCTGATCAGCGGGTGATCCACAGATTCACACAAACACAATCTTAGAAACAGTCGACATATTATTTCTATTTTTATTAGTTGATTTTTTTTCCTACCTATGCTGATAGCCTCGGGAGGCTATTTCAGCTTCGCCCTGACATAATGTAGGTGAGCTCACGGGGCTCAAACCGGAGTGTTGCTAACACTGGCCCTAGCAAGAGCAGTGCTTCGCAGAATCTACCACCGGATCGAAAACGCGACCCACTGAGAAGATTTGTTGATAGCCCTCAAGTCTATCAATAGCTTCCATTTTTTTTTTTTAAATATTTTATGGCCTTTTTCAGTCGTTTCTTAACAGAAAATCGGTTGAAAAAAAACAAAATCTATTGTCCTTGCCTATTTACCTATATCTAAAATATTCAGTTCTGTTTTCGTTATGAATTAATTTTATGGTAAATAAGCTGTCAAAAATATTAATGAATAGTGTAATAACAATTTATTTGGTTAAACATATTGATGAATGGTATAATAACAACATCATTATTGGAACAAAAATTTGTTACTTTGTATCTTATTTACATATAAACAGTTAAGAATAGATATTTTCAATGTTATAATAAAATATTTTTATTTATTACGCGTAAAACGTATCGTCTCTAAGAGTTTTTGCGTTAGATTGGTTAAATATACAT